AATATTCAGTTATTTAAAGCCATAGTTTAAAAAACATTCTGTACAAAACCACAATCTGTCTGTTTTTCAGCTTTATGTGACTCAGAGTGGTTTTCTTCTGGAGAACTATCTTTAGTTTTTGCAAGCCCACAAATCCGCTTAAAACACAAGTGAGGAACAGTCATCTTAACTTTTCTTAGGTTTTGGTGACATTAGTTTGATTTTTAAATTCACCTATATGATTTCAATGATATTTTATTTTAGTCCAGTTGCCAGAGCTTAAAAATAAATCAGAAATCCACAATCAGAGTTTATTCATGAGATTTGATTTGAAAAAGTCACTGGCAATCTCTCAAGCCATGACCTTGAAGCTTTCATAAAGTCATCAGCTGGACTATGCAGTGGGTGTAGTGGGTGATACGATGAGAGTCTTTTTCCCTCAGTTTTAAGAGTGCTGAAGTTCTTGACTAGATGTGATTGGCAGTCTTTTGGTCTCAACTACAGAATCACAGAATAAGCTGAGTGGGGTGGTACCCACAAGGATGATCAAATCCATCTCCTGGCCCTTCCCAGGACCATCCCCAAGAGTCACACGCGTGCCCTAGGGGATTGGCTAAACTCTTCTTGAACTCTGTCAGACTTGGTGCTGTGACCAATTGCCTTGAACACAAAAAAAATCCCCATTCTCTGTAGGAATGACTCAACTGGATGTAAAGGTTATAAGTGACTTCTTATTTTTATAGGAATGCTTCAATAGGTTTTGCTTACACCTTTACTGCAATCACACAGTAAAGAGGGCCATATAAAACATACAGAAAACAAAACTGATGCAAGTTTGTACTTTGAAATTCCCACTGGAGCAGCAGCAAACTTATGGAACATAAAAGTCATTGCCAAAGGAAGGGCCTGGACCTGCACTGTGCCAGTAATACTGTGCCTCTTCATGGTGGCATGTACAGAGCAGCATCTGTGTGACACAAGGCAGTGAAATCACTTGATCACTTGTTCACTTGATCACTTTATCATAACCAGGTTGTCTGTGTGCACTGTAGCTCAGGCCCTGCAGCTCCCAGCCCATGTCCCAGGGCTCTGGAGTGATTAACAAGTGGCACACAGGCAGCCTTTGGCACCTGGCCGTGCTCCCAACATCACCCTGGAGGGGTGATAGGCCAGGAGGGTGATAAACCACCAGGGCTTCTTCAGAAAGAGAAGGGAGAGTTCCCCTTACATGTGGCATCTTGTGCTGTATTCTTTTTGCACATATGTCTGGCCCCTTTACTTCTCAAACAGTTTCCTGGCTTTCTGGCTGCCTGTCCAAAATTTTTGCTGCACGTTAGTCTGCTGTGTCAACACAACATATGTGTAATTGAGTCATGCGACGCGAGCTGTAGCAATCGGAGAATTCTCTGATGGAGCTGATATTCAGCTTATGTGGAAGATAAAATAGTCATGTTGTGTTTTGACTCATGCACCCAAATCTCATGTGTGAAGATGGAGGAAGTTACAAGGAGTCTGTAACATAAAATTGCCATTTAAAGGTGGATTCATTTAATGCAGCTGTAAAAGAACCGATTCAGACCATAATTCTATTGCTTTCTGCAGCTCTTTCACCCAAGAGCTTAGATGCTTTCCCTGGTGATACCATGAGGTGTTTGGGTGAAAATGGTTCAAGGAACCACCATAATCACCATACAACTTTATTTCTTCACCCATATGGCAGCAGTTTTAGTTCCAGGCTCCAGTTTCAAAGATGCGTCCTATTAACAGCTGTAAAATGTCTGTTCCTTTAAACAGCCCAGTCAAAATACTCTTAAACAGTAATTTGCTAAAAAAGACCTAAATTAAAGTTGGTGTGGGCATTAGTGAAAACTGGTGAATTAATTAAATATCATCAAAGCATCAATACTATAAACCAATGAACCAACATATAAAAACAATGATAGAAGGTGAGATTTAGTGCTGTAAATAAGAGTCTTAGCCTTGATTTTAGGAAGCTTTAGATAAGAATCATTGTGTATACAGCCAGTTCCCAAAGTCCTACCCCAAAAATACTTGTTTCCCATAATTCTAATTGATTTATGAAAACCCAACCCAGCATGCACAACCTTTGTGAAACTTATGCTGCATAGCTCAGTCCATTAGAGTGATAAAACCTCACAGTGAATATATTGTCAATGAATAACCAAGCTTCAGCTAAATGTCTGCTAATGTCTTTTTCCTTCTTGATTAGCAGTGGAACTCCATCACAATGGGTCTTATTGAAAACGAGCTGAAAGTAATCTTGATTGAAACATGCCTATTCAAACCCCAAATCATTAGAATTCTTCAGCTTTGATGAGGGCCCAGTAATTAGTTGAGTTGCAATAGACCTGTGCCATAAACAGCACGAATCAGAACATGTCTGCTTCTAAGACTTATTGTTTGTATTACTGTAGCACCTAGAGGCCACAGGCAAAATCTGAGTCTCCCTGTGTTGTACATTGCTCAGTGCAAACAAGACCCCAAGCCCAACAGAATGCAGCCAAAACTAAGGCAGGGTTAGCAGTGAAGGCTGATCTGTGGAAGCAAAGCAGAGCAATAGGTGTGGGAGTGCACAAGGTGCCACCTTTGCTGCCCTTTTTGCTTTTTCTTTGCATAGTGCAAATGTTAAACAAAAAGAGACAGCAGCAAGGCAGGACAAGGAAATAAAGGGACAGGGCTGACAGCAGCAGGGATGGGAAATAATGAATTGTAAGAGAGAAAATAGATATGTAAAGGGGAGAGGTAAGGGAAGAGATGCTGTGAAGAGAAGCACAGGAAATGGTGATTCCTGATCTGAGGGAAAGTAACTGTGCAGGTGAGAACCATCTTGTAGTTGGGTCTCATGCAGGGGCCTTTGGTGTTTTGCTGGAGAGGGATCATAAAGTTAGCAACAAAAAGAGATTGAGTGAGTTAATTTGGATGGTTCTCCTTCTCTAGGCATCACCAATTATACTCATAGTGCTCGAGACAGACACTTAGACAATAAAGAGATTATTTTCATTCTTTGGTAGCACCTTTTAAGCATTTGAACATAGTTTCCATATCAGCTCCCAGTTCTCTTAACTGATCCAGATTACTTTCCGTTTCCCTTCAGAGCACGTGCTCGCCACGTTTCTGATAGTCCTTGTTACATGTCTGTGTTGCTGTGCATTCCCTGACCTTGCCTCCTGTGTTCAAGAGCTGCCCTGCCAGTGCTGGCAGGAGCAAATGGAAATGATGCTGGAGAAACAGTTTTGTGGGTACTTGTTTTAGTTCTACTCAGTTGATGTTTTTCTGTACCAGATGAAACTGTCCAGATGAAACTTCCAGTGCTGGAAGCCCTTGTGAGGCAATCTAGGTGACATTCACTGCTCTTCTACTGACAGGCTTGTTAGCCTAATAAAGAAAGAAATTAGGTTTGTTTGACATGATAAACTCTTGACAAATTAATGGTGGCTATTAGTCATCATCTAGTTTTTGTCTAGAGTGCTTGCAAAGTTCATTTGCTTGGATTTTTTTGTGCCTCTTGACTGGTGGAGAAGTCAACAGGGCAGTGTGTGATAGTGGAAGGTGGAAGCACTCAGTTCTCCCTATTCTGTGGCTGCCTGGTGTGTAGTTTCTCAGTCCCATGTCTTCTTCCCATCCCTATTTAAATAGTTCCCAGCACAGGCTGAAATCTTAGATCTCTGTTACTGCTATTAATTATGTTCACCATGTAGTCAGAATTGACCTTTCTTGTGAGTTTTGATGCAAAATATATTAAAAATGATCAAAAGCTCCTCTCACTATGTGCTGACAGCTTTCCTTCTATCTGGCAGCCTCTTGAGACCAGGCTGACTGACTAAGAGTGCTGGGGCTCTCTCTCCTGCCAGCCATACATTCCCATCCCAGTGCTCCATCTCCTGCATGGAGACACTCCTGTGTTCTCCATCCTCCTGAGTGCTGGGGCATGAAACCAAGCTGAATTAACAAGCAGCCCAAGCCTAGGTGTTGCACCTGCTTGGGTTTGAGGTTCTTTTCCCTTACAAAGGCTTCACTATACTTTGAGTCAGCATCTGTCTTCACAGTTCAGCCATTTACTTCTTGATGGTTAGAATGAAATTTGAGATGGTCTGCTTTATTCATCCTTACACAGAACACCCCTCGAAGCTACTGGATGATATGGCTTTGGGACACAGGGTAAACTGGGTCCCTATGGTCTTCCCTGGTGTTCTCCTTTTTCCTAGTTCCACATCAAGGCCTCCTGTGCTGAGTTCAGCTGAAACGGTCCTTGGAACCCCTTTCACAGCCTCGGGCTTCCCAAGAGGAGCATCTTAGTGCAAACCAGGGTTGTGATGCCCCACGCCGAGCTTCCCAGGCCGTGGCTGGCAACATTCGTTCCGGTACAGCCGGGGAGATGCGCCTTTGGCCGCTCGCTGCTGAAGCGCCGTGGCGGGGCTGGACAGCGGCGGGACAGCTCCTGCCCTGCCCGGCAAGTCCGGAGCCGTGCGGCACCAGAAGCGCTACAGCCGGCGAACAGCGTGGCTCGGCTTCCTTCACCCTTTCCTTCCCTTTAGCCCCTCTGGTGGTTTCTGCGGCCGGCGGCGGGGCAGCAGCGGCGGGGGCCGGTCCCCGCGGGGCGGTCGCGGGGCGGTCTCGGCGGCGCGGCCCCGCCGCAGCCGGCAGCGACGCC